ATAAATAAGCTCCCCTTCTCCCCAGAAGTCAACCCTCAGGGCCCTGTGTAGGGCCCTTGTTTTGCATCTCCGAGTGGATCCTACTCTTGCTCATGAGTGAGCTGGCCTCCCTCCAGAGAGTAATTCGAGACAGGATTTCTGTTGTTAGAGTTGAACTCCTTCCCGGTGCTGTGTCTCCTCTAACAAATCCCTCTCCCTCCCTTCCTCAGGGTTACCTCCCCCCAACCAAGAATGGAGCGGAGCCCAAGAGGCCCAGCCGTCCAATCAACATCACATCCCTGGCTCGGCTCTCGGCCACGGTTCCCAACACCATTGTGGTTAATTGGTCATCTGAGTTTGGACGGGTGAGTGCAGCTGGAAGGCCAGCAGAGGCTGCAGGGGAGCCATCTAGTTTGGGGTTGGGGGTTCATTTGTTCTTTTGGGCCCCTCTGCTCAAGACCAGTCTCTGGTCGTTGTGAGACAAAGTATGCCGGGAAGGGGGAGGGTGGGAAGCGGAAGCTAACTCTCCCTTCCCGTTCCCCAAGTAGAATTACTCCTTGTCTGTGTACCTGGTGAGGCAGTTAACCGCAGGGACCCTTCTACAAAAACTCAGAGCGAAGGGTATCCGGAATCCAGACCATTCCCGGGCACTGAGTGAGTACCTTTTCCTCCTTCTACTTTGGGCTCAGGGGTTCCTGCTCTCCCCCCCCAGGCTTTACCACAGGCTCTCTTACGTGGTCTCCAGCCCTCCCCCAACCCCTATGCTTCTCCTCAGTCTCTGTGGTCGAGAAAATAGATCCTCAAGCAACGGGAATAGCCTTGCATTCCCAATCATACAACAGTTCTGTATCTCTAAGACCCCAATTCCACCCTACTAAGAAGTGAGCTCTCTACTGAAAAGCCCTAAAGGCCGTTCCAGCTAACCCTCACACGATGCTTTCCAGCTAACCCTCACACGATGCTTCCTTTCCGTCTAGATCATCCCTGATGTAGCCCACATTTCACCCTGAGGTGTTGCAGCGTCTTCAGGGATGGAGAAATCACTTCTCCACGCCCAGCCGTCTTGATACAGATCCACTCCTGTGGCATGCCAAGGGGCCCCAAAGACTCTGCTCAGCTGCCTCTCAGCTGGGGCCGACTGCTTCCAGCCTCACTGACCCCATGGCTTTGGTCTCCCTCTCGTTTCAGTCAAGGAGAAATTGACCGCTGACCCTGACAGTGAGGTGGCTACTACGAGTCTCCGGGTGTCACTCATGTGCCCGGTGGGTACCTGGAGCGAAAGGAAGTGGAGGAGGGTTGGGTCAAAGCCTGAAGAGGGTCCCTAAGGATACTAGAGCAAGGTTTTCTATAATGGACTCTCCTCTCGTCAGCTAGGGAAGATGCGCCTGACTGTCCCATGCCGTGCCCTTACCTGTGCCCACCTGCAGAGCTTCGACGCTGCCCTTTATCTGCAGATGAATGAGAAGAAGCCAACATGGACGTGTCCTGTGTGTGACAAGAAGGCTCCCTATGAGTCTCTTATTATTGATGGGTAGGGCTTTGCTGCTCCCTCTCTGCTAGGACAGTCTCGTAGATGCCCTCCCCACTGTATGGCTTACTGCTCATGAACTGCAGCTCTCACGCCCGCGTCTCCTTTAGTCATCCACCGTGTGTGACATCAAGGACTAGCTAGGACATCATACTCAGCATTTGCATGCATTTTCTCATTGCGTCCTCGTCATAGCCCCGTAACACATCGCAGATGAGGAAAGACACTAGCGCTGAAGGTCACGTTCGTGAATGGCAGAGCAGAACATTGAATTGCTCCAATGTATTGCCAGTAACGACTACCTGAACTTCCCACAGCGCATAGCAGCGAGGCTCCTTTACTTCTTTGCCTTGTTACTGTTGCAAATAGCATTCATTAGATTGCCACAATAAGGGTTTTTTTTTTCCTTTTTTCTTTTTTTTTGCGGTCCTGGATATATTATGTAGCTAGTCTTCTACCACCCCAACAAGCAAATAATTTTTTTAGTCCCCTTGCACAACCTCCAGTAGGGCCCTCACATTATCTTGTGAGAAGGCTTACACCTGCACCTAAAATTTGTGAAGTTTTCTGGGCCTGGTGGAGCACACCTTTAATCCCAGCACTCTGGAGGCAGAGGCATGGGGATCTCTGAATTCAAAGCCAGTCTGGTCTACAGAGTGAGTTCCAGGACAGCCAGGGCTACACAGAGAAACCCTGTCTCAAAAAAAAAAAAAAAAAGAAAAAAAGTGAATCTCTTTTACATACTTCCCCCCACGGTGCTGGGGCTCAGACTCGGCCCACATGCTAAGCAAGTGCTCTGTTCCTGAGCTACAGGGCCAGCCTGTGCTTTACTTCTCTTCCAGCAACAACTCAGAGAGGTCCAGGAGGGTGGACAGTGCAGACGGGGAGACTGAGGCACGGGAAGTGAGTCTTAGAACACTGCTCTTCTGGCCAGCTCCCAGCCTCATGAATTCCTGTGTCCTCCTCCCTTAGCTTATTCATGGAAATTCTTAATTCCTGTTCGGATTGTGATGAAATCCAGTTCATGGAAGACGGATCCTGGTGTCCCATGAAACCTAAGAAGGAGGCATCTGAGGTTTGCCCCCCGCCAGGGTATGGGCTGGATGGTGAGTGACCCCCTGCTCCCCGACTGAGCTAACTCATGGATGGCCCTTTTTCTGAGACACAGCCTTACCCACCCACAGGCCTGCAGTATAGCCCAGTCCAAGAGGGCAGTCCGTCAGAGAGTAAGAAGAGGGTTGAAGTTATTGACCTGACAATCGAAAGCTCATCAGATGAAGACGATCTGCCCCCAGCTAAGAAGCACTGCCCTGTCACCTCGGCCACCATCCCAGCCCTTCCTGGAGGCAAAGGGTATGAGGCAGGGCTGCATCTGGAGCAGAAGGGGCAGGCTGGCAGGACTGCTTTCCTGTCACAGCAGGCCGTGGGACAGGGAGGGTGGACGGAATGGGACCTAAGACGTCTGTGCTCGGTGAGTTTCTCCAGCTCCTCCTCTCCATTCAGAATCCTGACATCTGGTCACCAGCCATCTTCGGTGCTGCGGAGCCCCGCAATGGGCACACTGGGCAGCGACTTCCTGTCTAGTCTCCCACTACATGAGTATCCTCCTGCCTTCCCACTGGGGGCTGACATCCAAGGTATAACACTGATCCCAAGGTCATACTCTTTGCAGGGCCTCAGGGTAGGGGCATTTTTTTTCTCGTGGTGAAGGGATTAGAAGGGGGTTGATCTTGATTTTTCTTTTCCCACCAGGTTTAGATTTATTTTCTTTCCTTCAGACTGAGAGTCAGGTAAGTGGTCTCTCCCAGGAAGGTCTAAGCTCTCAGAAGAGCCCTTTCTAGACACCGATGGGGCTGGCTTTCCCTGCCCGGTTTCCCTGGGGATTTCCAAAGGCTTTCTGTGAGGGGAGAACGGAGCAGCTCGGCTCCCCCCCCCCGGCACTTCCTGTTCCTGTGCCTTCCAAGCCCCTTTCCTGTAGTTCTTTCTGCCCGCTCCTGCCCACCTGAACTTAGAGCCTTCCCAGTGCGTGCAGCATACTTTTCAGACACCCGCGAGGCCGAGGGCTGGGTGTCTGGAGGGACTGTCTCCAAGGCACAGGGGAAGGGTCCAGGGAAGTGAGGCAGAGTCGGAGAGGTCCCTGCTTTTCTGCTCTAGAACGCCTTGAGGTCCGGGAGGGTCGGTGCCCACAGCGAAGTTTCAGGATGAGTATTGGGAGGGGGAGTGAGGTAAACCTGAAGCTTTGCTCTTCCTCCCTCAGCACTATGGTCCTTCGGTCATCACTCCGCTAGATGAACAGGACACCCTTGGCCACTTCTTCCAGTACCGGGGAACCCCTTCCCACTTCCTGGGCCCACTGGCTCCCACATTGGGAAGCTCTCACCGCAGCTCCACTCCAGCGCCCCCTCCTGGCCGTGTCAGCAGCATTGTAGCTCCTGGGAGTTCCTTGAGGGATGGGCATGGAGGACCCCTGCCTTCAGGTCCCTCTCTGAGTGGCCGGCGGTCAGATGTTATTTCCTTGGATTGAGTTACTTGGATTATGTAACCTTCATTGGCCCCCAGCACTGAGAGATGTGCTATGGGTTTCCAGCCCCTGGCTACCCTGATCCCTCAGGGTCTTTGTCCAGAGGCCAGAGGCCAGACTAGGCCTTCATGGATAGCTGCTTTTGGCCTTATCTCTGCCTGCCAAGGCCAATACTCAAAGGGTTAACATTTAACCTGTTTTAAAGGGTGTTGGGGTCTGTTTCTGGAAGTGTTCTTCAGTGGTGGCACATTCCTTTGGGTATGGTGACCTAGGCAGTGGGAGGCAGACGGAGGGATAGGAGCTGAGGGAAGAGGGGAGAAAAGGCACTTTCCTGACCCCCAAGATGCTGCCCCTTCCTAAACCCAAGCATCTGTCCTTTCATGTCCATTCCGTTCTTCAACCACACAGTCCGGTGGCAGATGAAGTGTCAGAGACGGACAGAGAACTCTATTTTGGGTTACAGATTTCTTTTTTGTACATAAGTAAGAAAACCCAAAATTATCCAAAGATGACTTCCCCTGCCTTTTGCTTCCCAGTATGACTTGAGGAGGAAACAAGGCCTTAGCTGTGATTCCCAGGGGTGTGGGAACAGTGCTTGGCCTGCCTACTGTCTGGGTTTCTCTATTTATATATTTAAGTTCACAATGTTTCTTATGCTAAACAACCAAGGGCCTATGCTTCTAGTGACCTGTGCTCAGGCCTAGATCATTCTGCACCTTTTGTGGGATGTGGGGGCTCTGTGTTCACCTTCCCAATACTCCGGCCCCTTTAGGGCCAGGGCCCTATGTTGTGATTTTATTTCCAGAGTTGTAGCAGAGTTCTCACCTACAATAAAGGTTGTGAATGTTCTGTGACCGTCATGGAGGAGTAGAAATTTTGTACCCCCCTTTCCAGACCCCTGGTTTGTGGGGAAGAGGGTCTATGTTCCATCTTTTCACTTTTAGAAAACATGTGCAATTTTCCCTACTGTGTATATGGGCACATGTGCCTGGCTTTGCATGTGCACGTTAGAGGCCTTTATGGAGCAGGACCTCTCCTGCCACCTTGAAGGAGACTACAGGCATTGAACTCAGGTCTCAGGGTTTGGCATCAGAAGCCTTTACATGCACCATCTCACAGACCCCCTCCTTGCTTTGCTGGTCTGGGCTTCATGTAAGCTTCCCTTTTACCTGGAGGTAGTGTGGGCATTCACAGCAAGCATGTGGTGTCCATAAGAGCACTAGACCATCCCGGCCAAGTCACTCCTTACCTGCAGCGGCCCAGATGTTGCAGCCAGAGCCAAGAGCAAACCTGGCTCCAGTGCTGACCGTCCTTTGTCCTCTGCTATGGTTGGGGTTGTCCTCAGGAGTGTGGACATGGGCAGGACTAGAGTTGGGTCCCTCCGTCATCCTTCAGTTCGGATGCACTGGATTGGAACAACTATTGCATAAGGCAAGTGAGTGTTACTTAACAGAAAGGAGACACACTCAAGGAGGGTTAAGTGACTTTCTTCTATGGGAGAGTAGGGGCTCAAAACAAGGTCTTCAATGCTAACCAGTTGGCGCATGAACGCTTAACACTTGGAGTCTTTGATCTCAGGTGATCTTTTAATTATCAGTAGACTAACTCACTCCCCAAATCTGTTCCACATCCTGCAACTCCAAGCTGCAACATCCCCATATATGCATATGCATGTGTGTTGTTATATGCCAATAGCTAAAGTAAAGTTCGTACCTGAGAGAGAGTGGTAGGCCCTGGAGAAGTCTGAGTGTCTCTGTCATCCTCCCTGGCAGCCTCTACGTCTGGCTCCAGCATGGAAAGGCAGTCACCTCCTTTGGATTTATTTGGATCCGGGCCTGGGGTTAGACATGTTGATTCACCACGAGGCCACAGGGGGCAAGGAGACAGACCAGGGGCAGGGGCAGTCTGTAGCTTGGTCATCTCCCTTTGTCCTCTGGGACACAGTCAGAACCATGTGGTATATACTGTCCTCCATTACTGCCAAGCCTACCTGGAGCTGCTGCTGTGACTCCTGGGAGATTACAAGTACATAGAGAACGAGGGATGACATCTGGGGAGACCCCAGCTCAGCCTAGGAGGGTAGGCAGACTAAAACAAAGCAAAGCCAACAGATTGACAGCATATCGACAAACTTCCAACTTTTGGGACTTTGTAGATAGAGCTTTAGGGAGACAAAATGCTGGCCCAAAGCCCAAAGAGTGGGTAGCAGGTAAGAGGGACATAGGTGAGGGCCATGGCCAGATCCCAGCCCATCCACACTTTCTTTCCCCTGTGGCCAAGGCAGAGAAGGGTTGTTCAGTGGGAGTTAGGGGTCGTTGATGTCTGTCTCACCTCCCTCAACCCCAGAAGGACACAAGAAAGCTGGTTCTGGGGCAGCTGTAGTCCACACTCCAGTATCTGGGAGTCAAAGGGAGAAGGCCAGAGTGTCCAAAGCTTAACCCCACCAAGTCATTTCCCTTGTCCCTCAGCCCACACCCAAGGTGACCCCGCTCATAGGTCTCCTGGTTGGGTCCCAGCCTGGAACCTCCTCATCAGATTCCATGTGGCCACCAGCAAGAAGAGGATCCAGTAGTCTGTGGTGGTTGCCTTCACCAGGGACCCCATCCTCCAGCAGCAGAGGAAGTTTGTAGCTGTGGATACACACCTTGGGGCGCCACCGGACTACCCAGCAGCAATGTGAAGGGAAAGGGCTGTCTTCCGTAGTCTGTTCCTAGGAGCTCACCTGGAGGGACCCAGACGTTGGGGGAGATGCGGAGAGTGCATGGCCTTCGGGTCAAGACAGTCTGGTCAGTGGACTGAAGAATGACGGCCACACCCACATCCACACCTCTGTTTGTGGGCAGCTCGCTGCTGGCCCAGAGCCGCAAAGGACAGAAGGGGGGTCTCTGACAAGAGGGAGTTGACTGGACTAAGGCTTTGAAGCAGGGCGGGATTTCCAGAGATTAGGGGTGCCCACGGTGGGAGCTGGCCTGTCACCACCCTCCCGGCTTCCCGTCCTCCGCCCTCACTTTCCCAACGATTCCCTGTCCAGACCTGGATTGGAAGCCTCTCCGAGGCGCCGGGGAATGAACTGCTGGAGAGGACGAGCTGTCCGCGCTCCAAGCTGCAGTGTATGTACCACGGCCCGGGTCCCTGCCCTGCGCCCAGGAGGCTACACACACTTTGCGTGAAGTTCACCGACTCCAGCCGCCCGGCCAGGACCAGCAGCAGCCGCGCGGCAGCCATCCTGCTGCTCTGGTCCCGCTTGCCTGGCGCCCTCTGGTGGCCCAGCGCCATGAGCGGTACAGCTTCCGGTCTGCCCATGCAAGGCAGATTTTCCAGGCCGGCTGGGAAATTTAGGCACAACTTTTGGGGGCAATCCCTGCATGTGGATGCTCATAAGCAAAGAAACCCACTACACATTCTCATTTCCTCTTGAGTTCTTTCTGACTTCTCTGTTTTGGGACAATAATCCCCAGGCTGAATGATTTCTGGACAGGCGTGTTATTCCCCTGCCAGCCCTAGCTTGAACTTCACTTAAGGCCTGGACTACCTCTCAGCAAGTAAACACCTTAAATTAATTACGTCTCCACATCAAACGTCTAACAATTTTTTAAAAAATGCTAAGCAGGGTCTCATGAAACCCAAGCTAACCGAAACAAGTGTTGACCTTCCGACCAGCTTCCAGTCCCGTTTGTGCAGTTCTGAGGGTCAAACCCGGGGCTTCTGTGTATACTTAGTAAGTGATGGTGAGCAGCTCGAAGGCAGAGACGATCTTTTATCTTAAAAAAAAATACAATCACGTTTATTTATGTCAATATGGGGGTGGGTGGGCATGACCTGCCATGGCAGGTTTGTGAGGTCAGAGAAGTTGGTTCTCTCCTTCCGTCATGTGGTCCAGGGAAAAACCTCAGGTTGTCAGTCCGAGTGGAGTCAAGACCTACTTCATGAGATGCAACCCATGCCTGACACTTCCTGGATTGGCCAAGAACCTGAGACTAGACAGGCCGTGGATCTAGGGGAAAACCAACTACTGTCTGTCAAAGGAAGGTAGCAGTAAAATCTCCTACCGGCACTCTGGTATGCCTGTAGGTCAGGGTCTTGCCCAGCCACCATCAGCTTCCTCCTGCAGCAGGTGGGAACGAACACAGAAACTCACAGCTGGACAGTGTGCGGGCAGTGAGAGACCTTGGAACATTTAATCCCAAATGGGATGTCTTCATCAAACCCCTCTCCTCATGGCTCAGAGAACTTTGTGGAAGAGGAGATGGGAAACATGGCAAGAGCCAGCAGGGGTGGAGCACCCCAAGGAACCTTCTAGGTACAACAGGAATGGTTAATATGTGAGCGGGCAGAGGCCATGGCTTCATGCATATGAGCGGTACAAGTCTAACGCAGATGGGGTCCCAGCACTGAGAGGGGAGTGGACACATGACCCATCTGTAACTCAGAAGCTTGCAAAGGAAGTTTTCACCACTGGACTCTCCCTAAAGACAAAGCACACTTAAGGGCAGGCCCAGCAGTAGATGGTCACCACAAATCAAATTCAATGGTATTTTTTGTTGTTATTTTTGTTTCATAATGCTTTGTCTGCAGTTTTTTCCCTTACAGATTTCTTGTTTTATACATTATGGCTTCCAATTTTGTTTTTATGGGTTTTCTATGTATGTGTATGAATGTATCAGTCTTAGCATCTGTGTTTCTTTTGTTCTTTGACTTTTTGTTGATTGCTTGTCTTGTCCTATTCTGTGTTTTTTTTTTTGGTTTTTCGAGACAGGGTTTCTCTGTATTGTTTTGGAGACTGTCCTGAAACTCGCTCTGTAGACCAGGGTGGCCTTGAACTCACAGAGATCCACCTGCCTCTGCCTCCCAAGTGCTGGGATTAAAGGCGTGTGCCACCAACGCCCGGCGTCCTATTCTGGTTTTATTTTATCGTATTTATATTATTTTCAGATGCTTGGTTTTTTGTTTGTTTGTTTTTGGAGACATGGTTTCTCTGTATTGCTTTGGAGGCTGTCCTGGAACTTGCTCTGGGGAACAGGGCGGCTTAGAACTCAGAGATCCACCTGCCTCTGCCTCCCGAGTGCTGGGATTAAAGGTGTGTGCCACTAACACCCAGCAGATGCCTGTTTTCTAATGAAAGAGACAGAGTATGGATTTCAGTTGGTGGGGAAGTAGGGGGAATCTGCAAAGAGCTTTTTTTCTTTTTTGAATGTTTTGAGACAGGGTCTTCCTGTGTAGGTCTGGCTGTCCTGGAACTCACTCTGTAGACCAGGCTGGCCTTAACTCTGAGATCCACCTGCTTCTCCCTCCTGAGTGATGTGACAAAAGGCATATGCCATCACTGCCTGGCTAAAAACAATCCATTTTCCATAAAAAAAAATTCAAGTTGTCAAGGTTGGTAGCAAGGAACTTTGGCCCCACTAGGTCCCAGGCGAGGGCCCCACTTATTTTGGTACTTTGTGTTTAGCATAGAAACTGGCAATATATTGAAACTCAAATGTTGAAAGAATTACAACATTGGTAGGAAGAAACTAAAGGCCTGGTGAGCATCAATTAACACATTAAGAGAAGTAAAGCTCTGGGGCTGGAGAGATGGCTCAGCGGTTAAGAGCACTGACTGCTCTTCCAGAGTTCTTGAGTTCAATTCCCAGCAACCACATGGTGGCTCACAACCATTTACAATTCAATCTGGTGTATATGTAATAAATAAATCTTTAAAAAAAAAAAAGAGAGAAGTGAAGCTCCCAGAGCAAACTGTATCCAAGATACCGAAACCATCAAGAGTGGACCCAGAAGGAGGAGGATTTTTGTGTTTATCACGTCCTAGGTATTATATTCAAATGCTCTACATATATAATTTCAGACGTGGTCGAAGCCTGACCTGGCAAATGTCTTTTGTTTATATAGTCAATATAACTGCTTGGGCCACGTTGCCTGTCAGTTCTTGCTGGGTGTGCAGTGCATTTTTAATCCCAGTGTTTGTGAAGCAGAAGCTGCAAGATTGCTGGAAGTTACAGGCTCACTTGGTCTATACAGCGGGTTCTAGGCCAGTCTGGCTATAAAGTAAGACCCTATCTCAAAAACAAACCAAAACCAACAACAAAAAGCCCCAAACAAATAAAAAAGTCTTTTTCCTCCTCCCAAGCAGTCTTTGGCATTCTGTATGCTGAGTACACATGTTAAACAGTAGCTAAGTGAAACACGTGTAGACTTCTGTAAATGAATTAACTACTTAGGAAGAAATTTGAGAGACTGTGGTGGTTTAAATGTGTTCCATAGTTTCCCTTGGGCATTTGAACGCTTGGTCCCTGAATGATGACAGTTTGGGAAATTTAGGAGGTGTGGCCTTGTTGGAGGATGTCACTGGGTATCTTAGTTAGGATTTCTATTGCTGTGAGGAGACACCATGACCATGGCAACTCTTATAAAGAAAACATTTAATTGAGGTGGCAGCTTACAGAGGTTCAGTCCATTATCATCATGGTGGATAACATGGCAGTGTGCAGGAGGACATGGTGCTGGAGAAGGAGCTGCTACATCTTGATCCTGCAGACAACAGGAAGTAGTCTGAGACACTGTGCAGGGCTTGAGCATATGAGACCTCAAAGCCCACCCCCACAGTGACACACTTCCTCTAACTAGACCATATCCACTCCAACAAAGCCACACCTCCTAATAGTGCCACTCCCTTTGGGGGCCACTTTCTTTCAAACCACCCCACTGGGGCAGGCTTCCTGCTCCAGCCACCATGCCTACATTTTGCTGTCTTCGACTCTGATCCTCTGGAACGATAAGCCCAGGTAAGAGCCTTCTGTAAGTTCCTTGGTCATGACATTTTATCACCATAGAAAAGTAACTAATTCAGGGATGTTTCAACATGAGTTTGGCTGAGTTAATTTTTGTTTCCTTAAGATAGGTTCTCACTCTATATTGCCCACACTAGTTGAAACTTATCAAAAGGACCTGGGTGACCTTGAACTCATGCAGTCCCCTCGCTCTTAGCTTCCTTACTAGTGGGATCACAGGTATGTGCCTTCATGCCCAGCTTTGCTGGACTTCTTTTTGTATGTGTGGTGTGTGGACGTGATGTACGTGTATGTGCATGTGTGTCCAGAGGGGAAGCCAAGTGTTGGGTGTCTTCCTGGATTGCTTCCTACCTGTCACTTTTACGTTTGCATGCCTCCAGTGTGCCGTGGTCCCATGTAGAGGATGGGACAGTTTGTGGAGTTTGTTCTCTTCTACCGTCTGGGAGCGAGGTCATCAGCCTCGGTGGCAAGCACCCTTATGCACTGAGTCATCTTGCTGGCCCTCCACCTTATTTGTTGAGACAGGATCTCTCACTGAACCCAAAACCCATCAACTTGTCTAGGCTGGCCAGCCAAGGCACTTCTGATACGTGCCCATCTCCAGGGTTAGGGTTACAGGCATCACCTCCTGGGTTTCATCTGGGCACTGAGCTTCTAAACTAAACTTAGGTTCTTTTATTTTTTTGGTTTTTTGAGACAGGGTTTCTCTGTATTGTTTTGGAGGCTGTCCTGGAACTCACTCTGTAGACCAGGCTGGCCTCGAACTCACAGAGATCCGCCTGCCTCTGCCTCCTGAGTGCTGGGATTAAAGGCGTGCACCACCACTGCCTGGCTAAACTTAGGTTCTTAAGCTTGAGCAGCAAGTATTTTGCCCAGGAGGTAAGTCATCTTGCTGGCCCCTTGCTGACTTCCTGATAACAACTGATCCATATAATTTATGATTAATCTCATTTATTTAGGTTCCTCCCACTGTGAAGATCTGATGAGAGAATATAGTGATGGATATGAGTCTATTAACAAAGTTTACAAAATATGTCAAACTCTGGTGTATCATGGACAGCTAAGGTTACACAGAGAAACCCAGTGTTGAAAAACCTAAAAAACCAAACAAACAAAAAATAAAATAAAAATAAAAATCTGCAACTTATCCCACTACAAAGAATGCATCCAAGCACCTCCTTTGTCTTTTTTTCCCTATCTCCTGGATCTTTTGGGAGGATGCTGGTTTCCGGTTGGAGATATAGCTCAGTGGTACAGCAGGTGACTAGTGTGTGAAAGCTGGATCCCAGCACTGCTTCTTCTGGGTCACTGTCTCTTCATGGTGCTCTCGATGTACGACTCCAGCAAGAAGACCGTTTCATCTACCTGGATCTCACTGGCATCCAACCTGAGTGAAAAGTGAAAGCATTTGCTTGGGGTTACTTCTCGTTAGCATATTCAAGATTAGAGGCTGGGCTGGGTGTGGCCATGCAGAATTGCTTGTTTATTCCTGAGCATGTGGCAAGAGAGAGAACCAGGAGAGCCTGCACTTGAAAGTTTTACTTAGAACCCTGAGAAAGAACAGCATGTATATGTAAGAGTAGAGGTAAAGGATAGTGTGTTTTAAAGCCATGAGAAGTGAAGAGTCAGTGCTAACCAGGAAGAGTAAGTAACTTCCCCAAGCTGATAACACAGCTAACCCCACACTTAATAGTGAAAAACTCAGTTTCCCTCCTTAGATCAGGAACAAAGCCCAGATGTCCTCACAACCCTCTACTGGAAGTGTTAGTCAAGGCAATGAGGCAAGTTTAAAAAAAAAAAAAAAGCAATCAGATTGAAAAGAAAGGAGTAAGACTATTCACAAAACGACACAGGAAATCCCTAGGAACCTATAAGAAATACTAGGACTAGTAAATTTACAATTGCCCGACAGTGGTGGTGCACACCTTTAGTCCTAGCACTTGGTAGGCAGAGGCAGGAGGATCTCTGTGAGTTCGAGACCAGCCTGGTCTACAAGAGGTAGTTCCAGGACAAGCTCCAAAGCCACAGAGAAACCCTGTCTCAAAAAACAAAAACAACAAAAAATTTACAATTAACAGTCCCTGCTAATGAGTAAAAGGAAACAAAGATGGACGTTGTAGGGAGAACACCTACGAAGCTGCAGCTGGCTCTGGAATTTCTGAACACAGCCTCAATCTGCCCTTTTGTCTCAGCATTAACATATATGAATTGTGTCTAAGAGTTTCCCAAGGGTACACAGCCTAAGCAAAACTTGGTTGGGAAAAACCCAGCACACTGTGATATTCCTTAATGAAGAATTTGCATTTGGCATTGTCCCTTTGGAAGCTTAGGATATCTGGAGATAAGGAAATCAACTAGCTAAAGGTGTAAGTTGGGGAACAATAAAAAAAGGCCCTTTCCTAAGGGAAGGTGTCTCAGTCCCCTACAGGCAGGGTCCCCCTGCAGCTGGAAAGGCTAAATAAAATCATCCCAAAAGGGTCCTGCGTCTTCTTCCACAGACTTCTGTGAACACATACCTGTCTACAACAGGAAGTACACTGCTATGAAACTATGAAAGGCCTCATGGCACAGCAATGAACTGGATTTTATACTGTAAAAAATAAATCAGTAAATCATCTCAGCCAGGTGTGGTGGTATACATTTGTAATTCCATCACTTTGGAGGTGCTGGAGTCAGTAGATTCAGTTCAAGGACAGTATGACTCTATGAGACCTTTAGTCAAAAAGCATAACTTTCCTTCCAAATCAAAGGATGAGTGTGAGCACACACACACACACACACACACGTTAAGAGCACAGTGACACGTGGTTTTTGGATAAGGTTACTGCAAAGCTCTAGGCAAGAGGCAACAAAGGACCAAGATGAACCGCCAGACTTGAGACTGAAGTAAAGTCCTTAGTAACTGGTGAATGACAGTACAGAAAGAAAGCATGAGGGCCTCAGAATGGCTACGTAGAAAAACAGACAAGTTCAATACTTTCGTTTTTTGTAGACAGGGTCTCTCTATATAGCTCTGGCTGACCTGGAACTCATTATGTAGACCAGGCTGGCCTCAAACTCATTGAGATCTATTAAAGGCTTGTGCCGCCAAGCTTGGTAGGTTCAATTCTTTTAATTAGGCTAGGAAGACCATGCTGCGCTTAGGTTTGCTCACTGAATGGGAGGAGTGTAGGCTGTGAAGCACACTTGCTTGAAAGGCATCGTCAAGTGCAGTCTGAATTCCCACTACTTACTTGTTAACGTTGCGTTTCAGAGTCTCCAGCTGCTGGCGCTCAGGGGCTGTGATCATCTCCTCTATCTCCTGAAGCTGCACCTCCTCTGCACCTGTGGCCTGCATTGATGCAATGATGGCTTCCACCCTCTGAGACTTTTCTAGTAGCCGCCTATCAGACAGACACAACTTTGAGTGTGTTCCTCAACTTTGAGATTCTTTTGCACTCCATTCCAGAGACCCAGCTCCCCCCTTTCCATGTTTCATCTAAAGACAATGTCCATAAATTAATCACAAATATCACCGTGTCCCTGAAACCTGACCTCTGGGGTCAAGCACATGCCTCATAAATTTGCAATAATTATTTAATTGGGGGTATAGCCAACAAGTGTTAGCTAAGGCATGGTTATGCCAATCCAAACCTATGACTCAATGCAACTATACTCTGTATTGGGCTACTGTTGCCATTTCTATAGCAAGTTTTCCCTCAGGCTTTGGACCTTGAAAACTGTAAACGAAAGTGTTGGGGCCCACAGGTACCAGAAAAGCAGAAGGGCCACCATATATTCTCAAAGTGTTTTAGTTATTGGTTCAGTGGAAAAAATAGTACAGAAAACACGAGATGTCTGAGGAGCGAGGGGTGGGGGAAGAGTGCACTCACTTGTTCTCTTTCGTTTCAAACTGCCGCCTTTCTATCAAGTTGGCTATGCTCTGAGGAGAGAGAAGACAGACTAGAATGTGAACAAGGGCGGTGGAAGGGCGGGGCTGTGTGTCTGGGCAGGATCAGGAGAAAGGCCTCGTGGTGTTACCTTATAGCACCTGTGCAACAGCATTCTGGCAGCCGACAGCACATTCACAGTGTACAGATAGAAGGTCCTGGATGGGGCATGGTCTGGGGTTTTAGGGATTTCCTGTTTGTCCACAGAAATAAAGAGAAATTGTTCTTTGGAACTGGCAAAGTAAACACCCATCCACTGGCACTGTCAGCCCTCATGTTTACTGATACTTCTTTCTTTCCTAGGCAATCAGTAGTGATGTTTATGACATAATCACACATGAAGCAAGCTGCCTGGCTTCCCATTTTTCTATCAGCGTCCTGAAAAAAAAGGAAGGCTTCTAGTATTTACTGAGTCAACTCTACACGTGCCAGGACTGTGTTTGATTTTCATAAGGCCTTATTATTATTAATTGAGACAGTGTGACACTGTGAAGCCTATGTTGGCCTCAAATTTTCAATCCTTCAGCCCTAGTTTCTTTTTTTTTTTAAGGCGTTCTTTTTTTAATTAATTAATTAATTTTGTATACATTGGTGTTTTGCCATGGGTGTCAGGTCCCCTGGGCCTGGAGTTACAGACAGTTGTGAGCTGCCATGTGGGTGCTGGGTCCTTTGGAAATGCAGGCAGTGTTCTTAACCACTGAGCCATCTCTCCAGCCCCAGCCCTAGTTTCTTAAGTACTGGGTACACATTACCACAGCTGGTCCAAACAACACTGTTTTGTTTTGTTTTTTGGTGTTTCCAGATAGGGTTTTTCTGTAGCTTTGGAGACTGTCCTGGAACTCGCTCTGTAGACCAGACTGGCCTCAAACTCAGAGATCCTCATGCCTCTGCCTCCCGAGTGCTGGGATTAAAGGCATGTGCCACCACTGCCTGGCCCCACACTGTTCCTTTATTATTATTTTTGTTTTTGTTTGTTTTTCGAAACAGGGTTTCTCTGTGTAGCTTTGGAGCCTATGCTGGCACTTGCACTGTAGACCAGGCTGGCCTCGAACCCGAGTGCAGGGATTAAAGGTGTGTGCCTCCAACGCCCGGCTCCCCACACTGTCCTGATCTCATCATCCACCACCATTTTACAGACATGAAAATGATGGTAGTTGACTTGCTTGGTGAACTGACCCCAAAATCCATTCAACCTGCTTCCTCAAAGAGTCCCCAACATAGCTCTACAAGAGTTCAAGATATGTTGAATGAGTTATTAAAGATTTAAGGCTCTCAGAAGGTCAGATGGGCTGGGGGGTTGGAAAGTTACAGTTGTGAGCTGACTTCTCAGTGTGTTCTGCCTGTTTCTCTTACTAGGTCAGTTTTAAATCCTCATGACACATCGAGTACTATTTCACTTCTCATGATGAGGGTAAGATTGTTTTCTTCCCTGCACCTATGAAATTGAGGTTGTAAAGCAGTGATTCTCAACCTTCCTTATGCTACAACCCTTTGAAACAGTTCCTACTATACATGATCCTTCATGGGTTTGCTATGTCTGTGCTAATCTTTTTTTTCTGTTTCAGAGGTGGCTGTAGTGTCTGTCTTGGAGATCCAGAGTAACTTCCTCAGGAGTTTTCCCTGCCTTGGCCAGGCAATAAAGTTGTGGCTACCTGGAGTGATATGAAGTTCTCTGAGAGCATCTTATACAGCATATCCTTAGCCTCCTTTGCAGGAATCATGGCAAAGTCCTCCACCTGCTTCTGCTCCAGGTGTTTCTTCTGCAATACCAGACGGAATATTCTGGCACATCGAGACCCGAATCTGGGAAGGAATAAAGAAGCACATGGTATATTTATCTCAGAGTATGGATGTACTTACTATTCCATATGTGGGGTCAGAACAGAGAGAGGGACAGTGATCAGAGTCCTTTCACAGCTCCAGAAATTGGTGATGGCATTCTTTTTTTTTTTTTTTTTTTTTTTTTTTGGTTTTTTGAGACAGGGTTTTCTCTGTATTGTTTTGGAGGCTGTCCTGGAACTCTCTTGGTAGACCAGGCTGGCCTCGAACTCACAGAGATCCGCCTGCCTCTGCCTCCCGAGTGCTGGGATTAAGGGCGTGCGCCACCAACGCCCGGCCGGTGATGGCATTCTTAATCATAATTTGTCACCAAATGCCGAATCCTTTAAGTGCCATGGCTATTGTATTACAGAGCTTTAGGATGGCTGGTTAATTTACTAACTAGGAATAAGTTTTTCAGGGAAGAATAGTTCCACTGGAAGATGAGACCAAGTGTGCATGGCAGGGTATACCATAAAAACCAAATTACCTGTTCAATGGGGTGTGGCTATAAAGTGTCTGCGCCCAACCCCAATCAGAGAGCCTCTTACCTCTCCTGGATGACAGACTCCAGAGTCGCAGTGGCTAGGGATGCCAATGCCTTATGGAGGTCTTTATTGTAGAGGTTAAAGGCATTCAGAAATGTTTGGCCTGGTCATTGTGACCTTAGTTTTGTGACTAAATTCCTAACTTATAACTAAAAATTAAATAATTTTTTGCTCTTCACATTTCATGTATAAGTATATTAACATTTATAAGGGTTTTACTTAAGTAAACTTATTTCTTAGTTTTACTTTATGTGCATTGGTGTTTTGCCTGTATGTGTGAGGGTGTCAGATCTTGGAGTTACAGTTGTGAGCTGTGCTGTGGGTGCTGGGAATTGAACCTGGGCCCCCTGGAAGAATGGTCAGTGCTTTTAAGCACTGAGCCATCTCTCCAGCCCCTCTTTTTTTTCTTTTCTTTTTTCCCCCTTTTATGAGACAGGGTCTTACTGTGTGTCCCAGACTGACTGTTCTGTCTGGGTCTCTGTAAGCGCTGACCACCACACTCGCCTTTCCTTCCCTAGCTCTCTGCCCTGCCTCTCCCTCCTCCCTCCTTCTCTGCTGCAGTGCTGGTGATCTGGCCCAGAGCCTTGTGCAATGTGAGGGAGGTGCTACCGAACGATGGCAGTCCCAGGCTTTACAAAAATTTTCATTAATGTAACTCATTGAAAGTTCACAGAAAATTAATAGAAAGTTATTTCAGTTTTTGAAGTTGTTTAGTGTATTAGGCATTGATAAACTCCTTTCCTGGGGTGGCACATGCCTCTAATCCCAGCACTTGGGAGGTAGAGGCAGGAGGATCAGGGGTTCAGTGCTAACATCTAAGCTACACAGTGAGTTCAAGGCTAGCCTGGGCTACACGAGACCCTCTCAATGAAAAAACAAAACAATCTTTTCTAGGTCACCCTTCTGCTTCCAGACTCAGGGGTCCTGACACACAGGCAATTGGCAAGGATACTGATGACATACATTCCTCCTCCGCTGTCACCAGACTTTCCAATAAACTCTAGCTGTAAAAAAGAAAGAGTAAATGGTGTTAACTGAATGTAAAGTCCAGTCATTCTGCTTGCCATGGAGCAAATCTGGCCAAGCATCTGAAGCAGGTAGCTCCTGCTGGATGATGGGGACTTTGTCTGGGATGGCTAAGTAGACAAGAAGGCTATAGGAAAATATTAGGATTTAGTGGTAGAGACAAATTATAACCAGACCAAGGGGGTGAGGAGACTTACTGGATCATCAGCCAGCAGTGTGAGGTACTGATCGAGGACTTGCTTAGAGATGTTGTAGCCAACAGGCAGGGACCTGAAGATCTGTGAACAGAGGGCATGCTGGGAGTGGGGCCTGGGAATGCAGAACTACTAACACGACTGAAAACAGATGTCCTAATTTTAGATTTCAAAACATAAAAATGCCTTTAAAATATTCATATATCATTGTTTATAAGAGTAAGACAAAGGCCAAGAGGGGTGCACGTCTTTAATTCCAGAACTCAAGAGGCAGAGGCAGGTGGATCTCTGAGTTTGGGGCCAGCCTGGTCTACAGAGTGTGTTATAAAAAGTCAGTGCTACATAGTCAGACCCTGACAGAAACAGAGTAAAATAAGAAAGAACCCAAATGTCCAATGATAAGTAATTAATTAAAGGAAAGTACAACCAAGTACAGTGGTACATGCCTGTAATTAAACCAGCTATCTCAGAGGCTGGGTCAGGAAGATTGTGGGTTGTTGTATAGCCACAGCCTCCAAAGTTAAACCTTCCATTCTGGAGGGAGGCTCTTAAGACTCTGGGAGCTAAAACTTAAAAGGCTCAAGAAACTCATAACATTTACAAGGGTTAAGAACTCAGAAAGCAGGGCCTTTAACCATAGCACTAGGGAGACAGAGGCCAGCCTGGTCTACAGAGCAAGTTCCAAGCCAGCAGAAACCCTGTCCAAATAAATCAACCAACTAAAAAAACTTAGAAATAATATAAAAGCATAACAACAACATTTAAGTAAGTATAATTATAAAAGTAGTAGACATGTAATGTTTCAAATGCTAAGGCTTTTATGAGAAAGCCCAGCCTAGTTTTGAACTCCTGAGCTCAAGCAATCCTCAGCAGCTGTTTAAACAGGTAAAATCCCATGCATGTGCCAGCACACCTGGTTCTTAGATTCTTAAAACAATTAGAATAAATTGTATTTGACAGATATTTAACTATAATAATGACTTAACACTTTTTTTGAGACAGGGTTTCTCTGTGTAGCCCTGACTGTTCTAGGACATGCTTTGTAGACCAGGTTGGCCTTGAACTCAGAGATTCACCTGCCTTCGCCTCCTGAGTGTTGGGATTAAAGGCGTGTGCTACCATGCTTTTTTTAAAAATTTCCTTATGTGTCTGTATGTTTTGCCTGCATGAATGTGTGTACAGTGTGTGAGCAGCGTCCACTGAAGCCAGAAGAGGGAGTAAGATCCCTTTGAACTGGAGTTACAGACTGTTATGTGCTATCTTGTGTGTGCTGAGAATTGAGCCTGGGTCCTCTGGAAGAGCAGTCAAGTGCTCTCAACCACTGAGCCATCCCTCTAGCCCCCATTGCTTATCATTTTAAAAAGCCAGATCCTAAGTGGCCAAACATTTTCGTGCTTACCACTTCCAAGAAATCTTTGCCCCATTCCAACAACAAAACCCCTTTTTGCCCCGAAGGTGCAGGCATCAACATAACCCTACGAGCTATGTCTAATAACTGTTATAATACCTATTAGAGAGCTAGCACAAAATAGAAAGCTAAACCAGGGGTGGTGGTACAGACCTCTAAGTGCAGCACTGGGGAGCGGAGGCAGGAGGCTCTCTGTGAGTTCAAGGACAGTCAGGGCTACATAAAAAGACCAAAACAAAACAAAAATCCCAAACAGAACAAAAAAATCCCCCCCCCAAAAAGGAAATTGAAGTGTACCTCATTGGAGGACAGTGGCTGGGTAAACGGGGCACTCGAGGGAGTGGTTATCTCACTCATGCGGAGCATTGTCCGCACAATCTCGCTGCTTGTCTGAAAAATAAGCAAGAATTCAGAATTCACTGTTGCTGCCTCTGAGCTAGTAGCCACAGCTGACAACCACCTGAATGATTGACCTTATTTCTCCCTGAACACTGGCTGACCCACTTAGATATTACCTGATCCATTCGGTTTGCAACTGCGCTCACAATTGCTTGGTCACGGAAGTGCTGGTGGAATCTGTCAAGATTGACTTGCCAATAAATCCCATCGTCTGGAATGGGCTGAGGTGAGAAAAGGATTAGAGAGAAACATTGAAATACAGTGCAGTTTCCTAGTAAGTTTAGATTTTAAAGTTCCATTTGTTTCGAGATACTGTAGCAATCAAATGGGTGAAGAGAAAAGGAAATATGTGAACTAGTGTGTCCTGACACAGTCACTTCAAGTTCCTTGAATTCAACTTCCTCCTCCTCCCTGGTAATTCTTCTCCATTATCCTCAAATCTCTCACCTGACACCTCCCTGACTCTCTGCAGATGACTTTCTCCTTGATGCCATGGAGATAATAGAAGCCAGAACTCATCCAACATTGTGAAACCACCTCCTTTCCTTTTCCCTCCCTCGGGAAAATGTTTCTGTCTTTCCCTAAGGGCACTGGCCACAGTGTGACTTCAGATTGTGTTCTCTCATGGCTCTTGGGACCCAGACCACATTTGCTCTCTGTCCTTTAAGCTTGCAGCCTTTCTGTTTCTGCTTTCTTCCCATCAGCTTTTACCCTGCTCGTCTCTTCTAGAATTCCCCTTCCTTCCTTTCCCTGCTTACGTCTCTTTCTAGAAGGACTCCCCTCCAGCCCCTTTCTTCTCTCCCTCCCTCCCTTTTCTTCCTAGCTATACTCTCTGACTTTACTCAACCCGCCTCCATCTCTGTACGAAATGTCAGTGCATGTGTGCACAGGCACGTGTACCAACACATGTACATATAATCCCCCTCTATACACACACAAAGAGATAATATGGTCTCTTAAACTAGGGAGAGAACAGGAAAGGTAAGAAATAACTGAATAGGAGATAATTTTAGAAATTGGGCTGATAGGGAATAGTGAGATAGAAGAATTTCAAGGAATTTTGCCTAAACTCATGGTAGTGGGCATCTGTTACTAAGAAAAGGCAGCTTAGGAGGTGGTAGATATATAGGAATGGGAAATCAATTATTCTGTGTTGGTCATGTTAATTTCTTTTTCTGGAGTGTGTGTGCTTAATTCTGTGTCTATGTATGAGTGTATGATGTGTGTATGCATGTGTGGGAGTATGTGTGCCATAGCATGTTGTGGAGGTCAGAGGACAGATAAAGGGGTCAGTCCTCGAATTCTATCTTGGTTTGAGACAGGATATCTTTGATTCTCTTGCTCTACCTTCTGAGTGCTGGAATTATAGTTGTGCATCACCACTTATGGTTTGTTTGAGACAGGGTCTCACTATGTAGCTCTGGCTGTCCTGGAACTCACTATGTAGACCAGGTTGACCTCCAACTCACACACCTTCCAAGTGCTTTGATTAAACGTATGAGTTATCACACTGGGTACCACTTCTGGTTTTATTTGGTACTGGGGAACCAAACCCAGGGCCTCATGCATGCCAGACAAGTTATCTACCAACTGGGCTACACCCCTGGCCAAAGTCTCTCTTTCTCTCTCTCTCTTTTCAAGAGTTTCTCTGTGTAGCCTTGGCGGTCCTGGAACTCACTATGTACACCAGGCTGGCCTTGAACTCATAGAGATCTGCCTGCCTCTGTGTACCCAGTGCTGAGGATAAAGGGATGCAACAACACACCCAGCTCTACTTCCTCCTTTGTATAAATTAGTACCATTATTCAGTGACATAAGGTAAGCCTCAGAAGGGAATGGAACATTCCTTCCACAAAGTCCCTCCCACTCTCAGGAGTTCTCACTGTTCCTTAGTAAAAAGAGGGCAGGGAAGAAGTGGGCAGAGACGGTAGTAGCATTGTTTCTATTGGTCTATTCCTGACCAACATTTACTCAAGTTCATAATCCTACTTCTTCTTATCCAGGAGCATTTAGGTTCTGTTGGAGCTTGCTACCTGAGGGCTATTTCTGGACTGCTCTAGAGTGAGGACTGCTAATCAGGAAGCCCCATTACCTCTTTGTTATCTGTGTATTTTGTTTTCTTGGCCTTGGGCTCCCCAGAAGCATCTTCATCAGATGATCTTCTCCTCTTACCTTTTCCTGACAAATAAAATATTGAGCAATTAGACTAGATATCATATAATGACAGGAAATAAAGCCCAAATACATTTGTAGCTGCCTCAAGTTAAGAGTTGGTTAGAAGGCTGAGGAGCTCTAAGAAACTAAAGTCAATGAGGGTATCATCTAAAATTCAGTATGTTTAAAAAAATCCAGTCATGAAGCTGAGTTCCAGGTCAGTCTGGTCTACAGAGTGAGTTCCAGGACAGCTGGAACTACATAGTAAGAACCTCACTTGGAAGAACAAAAACAAAGCAAACAAACAAACAAGCAAAAAAACTGCCACAAAAACAAAAAAGCAAACCAAAAGAAAATTCTAGGGCTGGAGAGATGGCTCAGTGGTTAAGAGCATTGACTGCTCTTCCAGAGGACCCAGGTTCAATTCCCAGCACCCACCTGGAGGCTCACAGCTGTCTGTAACTTCTGTTTCAGGGGATTGGACACGCTCACACAGACATACATGCAAGTAAAATACCAATGCACATAAAATAAAAATAAATTATAAAAAAAATAAAAAGAAAATCTATAGTCTTTGCCCTCAAACTGCTTTTCTTCCTAGGCTTCCTCTCAGTGAATGGCACCACCATGCTCCCATGGGTGCAAATGTCACTCTTGATACTTATCTTCTTACTGCTTCTATATCTACTTTTCCCTAGTCTGTCTCTAGTTCCCTTTGCCCTGTCCCTTCAGCCTTTAGTAGATAATTTACAATGTAAGTCAGATCATGTCAAGCTCCTACTTAAAGCCAGAGCAGTCTCCCTTCGCTCCGAGGTTAAGGAACAGACACTGTACTCGGCCTTGTTTACCTCACCCCTCGCTCTCCAGCCTCTGTGAACTCTGACCACCTTGCCTCCACACCGACCTTTCACTTTCTCTGATGCTCTCATTTCTTTTTCTTATTACACACTAGTTTTAAAAATACCCATCTTCGCCGGGCGTTGGTGGCGCACGCCTTTAATCCCAGCACTCGGGAGGCAGAGGCAGGCGGATCTCTGTGAGTTCGAGGCCAGCCTGGTCTACAGAGCGAGTTCCAGGACAGCCTCCAAAGCCACAGAGAAACCCTGTCTCGAAAAACCAAAAAAAAAAAAAAAAAAAAAAAAAATACCCATCTTTTTTAATCCCAGCACTTGGGAGGCAGAGGTAGGCAGATCTCTGTGAGTTTGAGGCCAGCATGGTCTACAGAGTTACACAGAGAAACCTTGTCTCAAATAAACAAACAAACAAACAAATAAATAAATAAATAAAATCAATCTACTTTACCCACTGCATAAATCTATTCCCCCATACCTGGCTTCTCTATAGTCCTTATCACAGTATGTGACACATCTATGTGACTGATGTCTTGGGAAGGGATCATGGGGTTTTCCATGATTACATACTACAACGACTTTCTCCATAGTCCTTAACACAGTGTGTAACATATCTGTATGACTGACATCTTCTGGGAAGGGATCATGGTTTCCCATTATTACATACTATAATAACTGACACACAGCAAGTAACTGGTAAACAATCAGATGCTCATTCACCTACCAATCAGTGAATAAGAACCCACAATTAGGGCAAATCACAGTCGCAGGATGAAAACTCCTTACCTATTAAGCTCAGTTTAGGAACCAGGTACATGTCCTTCTCATTAATGACAAGGGTTGGGGCAGGTGGTGGTGGCCCAGGGTCAGAACTGCCAGTGGCAGGAGCCAGGGGGCAGCGCTGTAGGAAGTGAGTATCTGCCAGTCGCACAAATGCATTCGATACCTCAGCGTAGTCCATGGTCTTGCCATCTGCACAACAGGAGGGAAGAGGCAGGTGAGACGGCCTAAGAAGTCAGAGCAGTCAGCCAACCTATGCCTTTTGCTAAGAGCTGTGGATCCAGACTGACCCTCCATGGTCTCTGTGAGTCGGTCTGCGACTTTCTTCACAACAGCTGACATTGTCATTTTGCCATTCAGCAGGAGCTCCTCAACAATCAGCTCTCCAGTGTCACTGTACAGCGTTTTGGTAGTATAGATGTACCGGGGATACCGAAGCATTCGCAATACCCGGCTGCACTGGGCTTCATACTCCACCACACTGCGTTTATGCACACGATACAGCACCAGGTTATGGTGGATGAGGACACAAAGGGCTTTTTTCACCTAGACAGGACCCAAAAGAAAGAGAAGAAAGACCTGGAGCTGTATAGCTCATTACTGCTGGGATTGCCACCCCCCATCCCCCGGCAGTCTAGTGTATCACTAGCCAAGAGACTTCTGAATCTTTTTATAATTAAAGAAAAAGTTTTTTAAAGCAACCAGGTCTGAGTGGAAACAACACAGGCCCATCTGAACAGGACCTGTCCCTTGTCTGACCCACGGACTTCTGTGTTTACAGTATAATGTCTGCAGCTAAACTTATCCCCAGGTCCCAGGACAGGGGACCCAGGGCCCATGAGCAGCAGGACTTGTTGTGGCAGCCATCTGGGCCAGTTCCTGCCATGACAGGACAGGGACTGAATTTGACTTGACTGCACATAGAATCTTACTTCCTCTGTGTGTTAGTGTAGCTAGTAACAATCAAATGTCAATGGAAGAAGTCAAGACAGCCCCTAGCTATGATGTTCATATTATCCTGATCTCTATCGGGTTTCTGTGTAGTCCTAGCAGTCCTGGAACTCACAGAGATCCACCTGCCTCTGCCTCTGGAGTGCTGTGATTAAAGGCGTGCGCCACCACTGCCCAGCTAATTTTCTGTTTTGAACCAGGGTGTCATGGAGTCCAAGGGAGCCTTATACTTTTTAATGTAGCTGAGGATGACCTTGAACTTCTGAGCTTCCTCCTCTCAAGTACTGGGATCATAAACCTAAATCATCACACCCAGTTTTATGTCATGTTAGAGACCAAACTAGGACATCCTATATGCTATGTAGTCACTCAACCAACCGAGTTACATCCTTAGCCAGGACCACGATAGAAAATCTTTCATATCTCAATTACCTGTTCTTTTCTATCATTTTATCCCTTAAAGGCAGTATTAGATTAGTAGACTTATCGTGAATAAATGAGTGTGGCATGGGAACAACAAATATTACTTACACAGCAAAGATGAGCTAGGAACATTCTGAGAAGCAGTACTCCGGGGCCTAAGTACAACACCACACCCCTACCCCACCCCATAGTGGTTCTGAGCATAGGGCAGGCTTTCTTTATTTCTATTTTCTAGAGGAAGGAGTACCATTGTCAAAAGGTAGCTGAAGGAAATGAATTAAAGATGTTAAAGAGAACGGATTGATATTATCTAAACATACCTGGTCCAGTGATGTTCCCGTGTCGTGGGCAATTACTCTAAGAGGCTGGCTGCCAGTTCTGATTAGGTGGACTCCAATTTTTTCTACAATCTCACCAAAATGCTCTTGCAGCAATAAAGAGCACAGTTTAATTTCTGCTTGAGTCATTGTGCCCGGGGTCTCAGAACTAAGAAAGAACAACAACATAAATTCACGTATCTTTTTCTGGAAGGCAACTTGACAACACACATCAAAACCTTAAACTCTCAAATATATTTGCTTTAATACTTTAATTTCGGATCCTTTGTTCCAAGGAAATAACAATAAAAAATGCCATTAGCTCTCTTAATAATACTGGCACTGACATACTAAAAGAGTTCAAACACCTATCAATAAATTATAGTATAACCTTAAATGAGTATACACTACACCAATATTTTAAATTACCCCACAATTCAACTAGCACAAACTTATTTGTTGTTTGAGCCCGGTGTTGGTGGCACATGCCTTTAATCCCAGCACTTGGGAGGCAGAGGCAGGCAGATCCCTGTGAGTTCAAAGCCAGCCTGTGTTAGACATGGAGACCCTGGTGAGTGATTTATCCGCTCATCAAAACAAGACTGGAAAACTAGACATCAAATATATTTTCTAAAGCCAGGTATGGCGGTTCATGCCTGTGGTTTAGCAATTGGGATGAGGAGGTAGGAGGAGGGCCTGGGGTTCAAAGTTACATACTGAGTTCAAGGCCAGCCTGGCTACATGAGACCCTGTTTGGGGGGCGGGGCATTTTCCCCATTATCCTATTTCTTTTTATGGATTATATGTGGTCTCCTTATCTTTAAAGACTGGATTAATCTGGGTGTGGTGACTCCCATCTGTAATCCCAGCACTAAAGCAGGAGGACTGCCATAATAAAAACCAAGCAAACAGTCCAGAGTGAGACCTCTGGAAGGGGGCGGTGCACATGATTTGTAAAATCTGTAATAGTCACAAATAACCAAGGTTCACGGCTCTGTGGGAATACAAAGTATCATTCCCCAAGCTATAAACCACAAGTTAGAAGCGAAGTGAAGAAGAGCTTCTCAGCGGGGTGTTTCAATCAGGATAAATTATGCTCCCTTGAGAACCATATTAAATTTCTACATCTTGACAAATGGGACACAAGCAGAAATGGATGTAGTTGACTTATGAATTACCTCCCTATCACAAGGGGTGCCTGCCATTATTCATCTAATTTTCCAACGCTTTAGTACCTAAGTCTTTGTCCTTCTTGCCACGCTGTCGCAGGGGAGACTATTTCACTTATCCGCCCGTCTTCGGAGAAACATCCCTAGATCAGTTGCCATCCTTGAAAAGCATTTCCAAGGCGCCTGGCTCCTTTCCCTTCATACACGTTCCTGTTTCCGACTTCGTTTCTTGGCCCTGAGTCAGGGCCTCCACATTCCGGCGGCGCTTCTCACTAACCTCAGGGTCAGTGCTTATGTAGAAACTCCAAATGAAACCTTCCGGAGACTAGGAGCCCAAACTCACTGCCCCTTCTGGAAAGCAGAGCGCCATGCAGGCGGACGCGGAAGGGGTCAGAGCAGGGGCCGCTCTAGCCGACAGCGTCGGTGGTTTCCGGGGACGCTCTTTCTTTCCTCTCGGTGGACGGCTGGAGGACCGGCCGGGGGCTGTCTGAGGTGCTGGCGGGCGGTCTCTTCCCTGCCTCTGGTGCCGGGAGGCGGGCCTCGGGTCGCGCGGCCGCTGGCGGGCGGGCCTCTTGGGGCCGGGCGGACTCACGTGACCCCTGCGGGCCCTGCTGGAGCGGCCGGCCGCGCAGAGGAGGCGGCGACGGCGGCGGCGGCGACCGCAGCCCGGGAGGTAGCGGCCTGGGTAGGGACCGCCGGCCGCCCTTTCGGACACCCGCGGCCGAGGCGAAACATGGCGGAGGCATCGGCGGCGGGGGCGGACGCGGGCTCCTCTGTCACCGCGCACCGTTTCTTCTGCCACTTTTGTAAGGGCGAGGTCAGCCCCAAACTACCGGTAAGAGCCCCGTGTGTCCCGCCCTCGGGCGCCGCGTAGGTCCTCGGCCCCAAAGGCTGGAGCCTGGGTCTTAAGCTGCCTGCACACCGGCGGTTCCCCCGACACCGGTGTCCTCGGTACCTGCCGCCCGCTGTCTCCTGGCACTGGCAGCGAGTGCCGGGCGTCAGGGCCGGGGTCGGTCACTCCTGCCCAGCCCTCGTTTCCGCGGCCGCTCCAACCTGCCCCTCATTTCGCTTCCGCTCTTGAACACCACCCCCATCTTTTTGTCTTTCTTCCTCGGTGAAGTCTCCGTTCAGCTTGCTGGCAGTTCCCTTCCTCGTCTCCTTTCCGCGATGACCTATCCCCTGTACTCTTTTCGTGGTTGCGTCTCACCTTCCTCTCTTTCCCCCCCCAACCACTTCTCAACTAGATCCTCCCCCTTCCGCATCCCCAGTGAGACAAAATAGCGGGTTGCTGAGGACTCCCCGGGAGGTTGTGTGGAAAGAGGAGGTTTGGAAGGTTAACAGGGAAGCGGGGATTGTGTTCTTCAGGGATTCTTGGGTTCTTGTGAAAGTGAAAATAGCAGTGTACTAATATGACTTGCAGCCAGTCTGCGCTCCCTGTTGCTACTGAAGGAAATGGCTTTAGGAAGAAACCCGGACGCACTGTTTCGACTTAGTCTATTTCAGATGTCACGCTGCCAGCGTCTTTAGCTCTACTTTCTCAGCCCATCCCTTCATTCTTTCTGTTCTGGGAAAAAAAAATACAGGACACAATGTTGGGGGCTGCTTTCCCCTGCTATAAAATTGGTTCCTACTCGTTTCTGCCGGGCTGTCAGCCAATAGAGAGGAAGGGCTACGGTTTGAGAAGAAAACGCTTCTGCAGAAAGCTAGCCAATGCCAGCACCCCAAACCAGAAGCTCCTTTGGGTTGGATTGTAGTTACTGTGGAGAGAATGACAAGGTGAATGTTAATCATGCGTTTAACTAATTGTCTTTGTACAATTATAGTTCTTTTTTCTTGGGGGTGTCAAGGTTCCTTCTTAAAACGGATGGCTATATCATAATTATTTTATATTTATGGTATATTGAATGCACTTCTTTTTTTTTTTTTTGGTATTTCGAGACAGGGTTTCTCTGTGGCTTTGGAGGCTGTCCTGGAACTAGCTCTTGTAGACCAGGCTGGCCTTGAACTCACAGAGATCCACCTGCCTCTGCCTCCCAAGTGCTGGGATTAAAGGCGTGTGCCACCAACGCCCGGCTCTTTTTTTGTTTTTTATATCAAGGTCTTACCATGTAGTCCCCGTCCTTGAGCAGGAGTTAAAGGTGTGTGCCACTGAACCTGGTTTTGAATGCACTCATAAGAGTGGGCCTACTAAGTTTATGGTTTTTTTTATTTATTTACATTTATTTTATGTGCATTGGTGTGAAGGCATCAGATCCCCTGACTGGAGTTACAGACAGTTGTGAGCTGCCATGTGGGTGCTGGGAACTGAACCTGGGTCCTCTGGAGGAGCAATGAGAGCTCTTAACCACCAAGCCATCTCTCCAGCCCCTCTATCTCATTTCTTAGAAGCACAAATGGAGTTCAGTGAATAAGGACTCCAATGAAAAGTTGTGCTATTGAGACAACTAAGACATTTTCTTTCCTGTTCCACCTCCAGCTTCATAATTAGCTATACCGAATGCCGACTGGCTTCACTTGCTGCCTTGGCTGTCTTCCGTATTTCAGTTTGGGAAAGAACTTTCCAAACCTATTTTTTCCAGCAGATATTAGAACTCTCTCTACAGAGAGGGAGTCTGGAATTCAGACACTGGGTGTGTAAGACTGGTGACATGTTATTAAATGTGACTGATGTGTGGAGATTGCGTTCAGCGAAAGCAGGCACAGAGGCGCTCACTCTAAGGATGATCTTTAGCCTCTTCCAGCTGCAGGGGCAGGGAGGGGACTCAGCCTCTCGAGGACTGAGTCCTTCTCCCTTAGCCAAGGGCTTTTTTTTTTCTTCCTGAGACAGGGTTTCTCTGTGTAACAACCCTGGCTGTTCTGGAACTCATTCTGTAGACCAGAGATCCGCCTGCCTCTGCCTCTCATTCTGGAATCAAAGGCTGTGCCACCACCTCAAGGCTGCCCAGGGCTTCTGTATTGTTATCCAGTTTATATCTTTAGCAAGTTAATTTCCATAACCCACAACAATGCTTCTCAAAGGGACAATACCAAATGCAAAATCTCCATCAAGGAATCTCTTGGTTTGCCGGATTTTTCCCAACCAAGTTTTGCACAGGCTTTGCACTTTTGGGAAACTCTCAGACACAGAAGGTACTAGAGACAAAGGGCAGATTAAGGCTAGGTGCCGATACTCCAGAATCAAAGCAGCTGCAGCTCTGCAGGAGCTCTCTGCTCTAGGGCTGTAGCCTTCGGATGTGTAAGTGTGCAGTCACCGGTTTGCCTTTCAGAGTGAGAAGACACACTCTAAATGTCTTTTTCTTTTGATTACCTGAAGTCTTTACTTCAAAGGGATGATTTACCTGAAGTCTTCACTTCAAAGGGATGATTTAAAAGCTTTCTAGGTATTTTTCTAAGCCTTAGTTAGATGCATGGGTGATCTTTGTTGGTCTTTTTACTCTGATTTATTGTTTGTCAGGCCTGACTTGTAAATGGAAGTTGATCAGTGTTAATACAACACATGCTGCCCACGTACAGCCAGGGTTCCCTGCTAGGTGCCTGGAGGCGAGGTGAAAGTATACATGGTTCTTGTTCTTAAGGCATATGTGATTTTGTTTGGAAGACAAGGCAAGCATAGGAATTTAGCAGTTATCATGCATTGCTTAAGGATGGGGATAAGTTCTGAGAAACACAGTTAAGTGATTTTCATGTCTTGAGACCTTTGCAGAGTCTACTTAGATAAATGAAAGTGCATCATGGCCTCGAGGATTGAACCAGGAGGCCTTTATACATGCTAGGCAAGTAAGTGTCTACCACTGAATTGTCTTTTTTTTTTAACTTTTATTTTTTCACTTTTTCCTTTTTTAATTTAAATTAGAAACAGCTTGCTTTACATGTCAATCCCAGCTCTCTCTCCCTCCCCTCCCCCCACCAAACCCCCAGTCCTCACCCTGTCCCCTCTCCCCTCCCCAGGAAGGGTGAGACCTTCCATGGGGGAATCACCAAAGTCTGTCATACCATCGGGGCAGGGCCTAGGCTCTCCCTCAGTGTCCAGGCTGAGAGAGCATCCCTCCATGTGGAATGGACTCCCCAGTATGTCAGGGATAAGTACTGATTTACTACCTGAGGCCCCATAGAATGCCAAGGCCTCCTCACTGATACCCACGTTCAGGGGCTCTAGATCCCATGCTGGCCTCTCAGTCATCAGTCTGGGGTCCATGAGCTCCCTCTTGTTCAGGTCAGCTTTCTCTCTGGGTTAAACCAGCCTTGTCTTGACCCCTTTGCTTATCACTCCTCCCTCTCTGCAACTGGATTCCAAATTTGGCTCAGTGTTTAACTGTGGGTGTCTGCCTCTGCTTCCATCAGCCACTGGATGAAGGTTCTAGGATGGCACATAAGGTAGTCATCAATCTCATTATCAGGGAAGGGCATTTAAGGTAGTTGGTGTGATCCTTGTAGATATCTGGAAATCTCCCTAGTGCCAGATCTCTCCTCAAACCTATAATGGCTCCCACTATTATGGTATCTCTTATCCTGCTCTCCCCTTTTCTTCCCCTGACTCAACCTTCCTGCTCCCCCATGTCCTCCTCTCCCCTCCTTCCCCCCCCTCATTATCCACCCCTCCCCATGCTCCCAATCTGCTCAGGAGATCCTGTCCCATTCCCCTTCTCCAGGGTACCATGCATATCTATCTCTCTTAGGGTCCTCCCTGTTTCACAGACTCTCTGGTGGTGGAATTGTAGGCTGACACTCCCTTGCTCCATGTCTAAAATCCATATATGAGTACATGCCATGTTTCTTCTAGTGCCATCCATTTGCCTGCAAATTTCAAGATTCCATTATTTTTTTCCGCTGAGTAGTACTCCATTGTGTAAATGTACCACATTTTTCTCTATCCACTCTTCAGTTGAGGGGAATCTAGGTTGCTTCCAGGTTCTGGCTATTACAAATAATGCTGCTTTGAATATAGTTGAACAGATGTCCTTATTGTATGAATTTGCATCTTTTGGGTATATGTCTAAGAGTGTAATTGCTGGATTGTGTGGCAGACTGATTCCCATTTTCCTTAGCAACCTCCATACTGATTTCCAGAGTACCTGTACAAGTTGGCACTCCCACCAGCGGTGGAGGAGTGTTCCCCTTTCTCCACATACTCTCCAGCATAAACTGTCACTGGTGTTTTTGATTTTAGCCATTCTGACTGGAGTGAGATGGTATCTCAGAGTTGTTTTGATTTGCATTTCCCTAATGGCTAAGGATGTTGAGCACTTTCTTAAGTGTCTGTCAGCCATTTTAGACTCCTCTATTAAGAATTCTCTATTTAGTTCTATACCCCACTTTTTTTGTTTTTGTTTTTTGTTTTTCGAGACAGGGTTTCTCTTATTGTTTTGGAGGCTGTCCTGGAACTCGATCTGTAGACCAGGCTGGCCTCAAAACTCACAGAGATCCACCTACCTCTGCCTCCTGAGTGCTGGGATTAAAGGTGTGCGCCAACACCAGGCTCTATACCCTATTTTTTAATTGGGTTATTTGGTGTTTTTGGAGACTAGCTTCTTTGTAAGTTTTGGAGATCAGCCCTCTGTCAGATGTGGGGTTGGTAAATATCCTGAACAGTCTTAAGGTATTTATTTATTTCTCTTTATATAGAGAGCTCTGGCTAGTTTTGAACTCAGTCCTGTCTAAGCCTCCTGTTACTGGAATTACAGGCAACACCCTTTTATTCCCACCCCAGCAACATGATTCTTTTTTGTTTGTTTATTTTTATTTTTGGAGACTGGGTTTTTCTGTGTAGCCCTGGCTGTTCTAGAACTCAGTCTGTAGATCAGGCTGGCCTTGAACTCAGAAATCTGCCTCCCTCTG